GTGTGTAGCCAGCAGCCAGCATGAGCGGCTAGCAGCCGCTGTGAGCGGCCGTCCAGAGGCCGGTGACTGATCTGCCTTGCCCGGGAAGAGCGCAATGATGGTGCCAGCTTGTGCCAGTGAAGCAACATCCTCCACAACTAGACTGAAGAACAAAAAACCCCAGCAACTTGTCTGTTCCCCTTCCCCCAATTCCCCAATAAAATCTTTAAAAAAAGTCATGGTACCTTAAAAAATAAAAATAAAAAATCCTACAATCCAAAATTTAAAAATTTAAACAGTATTCAAGAACTCACTGGTTTGAGTTACTAATTTTATTTTTATAAAGGTGCATATTAAAATCAAATCTGTTCATTTGTGTCTTGGTATGTCATTACAATCATCTTACATCAGAAGTATTTATACCACAATGAGAAACTGGCATTTCCCGAGATTCCAAGGAAATGCTTCATTTAGGCTCAGGTTCTTAGACACTTTTCTTTCTCTTTAACACAATGACTGAAGTAATTTTATGTTTAGAAAAATTTTTCTTGATACTGCATGTCAATGATAAAGCCTACACAAGTTCACAAATTATAAAGTCTCATGAGGTATGAGAACTAGTTATGGAACATAATCTGAAAGGCTGCCTTCTGTAACAGCTTCACTGACCTGCAAATAGCGAGGGTGGGCAAGAACGGTTCCACATCCTTCCATCTCACAACGGACATACTGGATTGGAGGCTTTTTTCTATTATCAATATGTCGGAGAAAAGTTAGCAACAGAAAAGAGGCAGTCTGTTGCCTTTAACTGAAACTGCATTATTAGGGAATAGCAATTTTACAGTATGAAGAATTAAAATCTCTCTACTAGTCTATACATGTATAGAATTTATTAGAAATAACCAGAAATTACAAAATGTTTGTTTATAAAATATAACACAAAATAAACTAGTAACCCCCCAAAAGGTAAAGTAGTAAGATTTTCAGAAACTTTCAGATCCTGCAGTGGAAGTAAAACCATAGAAAATAGAAACTCTGCATCAAGGACATTAACGAAGCTACTTTTGTGACATTTTTAAATAGCCATTCCTGCAGAATTATTATGGCTAAATATGTGACTATAGTGCCTGCCACCAGAAACAAGGTACAACATAGTAGGAGTATAAATTTTTACCTCCTTTTGGGTAATCGTGGACTTTTGTCATCTTTTCGTCTTCTTCCTCTCCTATAATTAAACAACAGAATAAACTGTCCACATATTCTGGATTGAAGCTTACTGAGTGAAAGATGGCTGAAGACATACAAGGTGTGATGAAAAAATACGCTGAATGTTTAAATTTTAAAAAATGTATTACAGTAAAAGACACATTGCCATTAATCCCCCTCAAAATACTCCCCCCTCGCTTCAAACACACTCATCCCATCCTTCTTGCCACTTTCTGAAGCAGTTCTGGAAGTCCTCTTTTGTGAATGTCTTTAGTTGCGCTGTCATGGCTGCCTCGATATCCTGAATTGATTCAAAACATTCACCTTTCATGGTCATTTTGACTTTGGGGAAGAGCAGAAGTCGCATGGTGCCAGATCTGGTGAATAAGGTGAATAAGGACACACCGTAATGTTTTTGACAGAAATTGCCGTACCAGAAGTGATATGTGATCAACAAATATGATGAATGCTGCTGCCAAGTGCCATCCAACAGAAAGGGATATTCAATGTGGGAAGCGATGCATCAAACAGTGTGTGACAAGTTTCAACTTGTTCAGTGCAGTCGGGTGTGAGCTACAGTTGAGAGAAGGTGTGTCTTAAAGTGTGCCATAAATCATCCTCTATCATGACAATGCTCTGTGTCACACATCACTTCTGATATATAGCAATTTCTGTCAAATAAAAACATTACGGTGTGTCCTCATCCACCTTATTCACTGGGTCTGGCACCATGCGACTTCTGGCGCTCCCCCAAAGTCAAAATGATTCAAGACACTGAGGCAGCCACGACAGCAAAACTAAAGATATTCATGAAAGAGGACTTCCAGAATTGCTTCAGAAAGTGGCAAGAACGATGGGATGAGTGTGTTCGAAGTGAAGGGGAGTATTTTGAGGGGGATTAATGGCAATGTGTCTTTTACTGTAATAAATTTTTTTTAACTTAAACATTCACTGTAAGGTCTGATCACACCTCATATATATTCAGGACCAAAGAGCAGGCGGCAAAAACAAAAGATTACCCAAAATACATAAAGTCACAGACATGTCTGGCAAACTGAAGATTTCACTCTGAAGTAATTTCACTTTTAAATAAGTCTGCATTACAAGTTAAATACACCTTCCATAAACTATATAATACTATGGAAGAATTGGATAAACCTCAAGGTTACTACTTGAAGATTTGTTTCAGTTAAAAGTCTATCACTTAAATTTAATCAATTCAAAAAGTAGAATAAAAGAGTCTATTATCTAAAAATCCTAAAAATATAAACTGTACTCTCCTTGCAATAGAACCAAAAAGCCTAAACACTTTAAAAATCTTATTTCTGCAACAGGAAATGATTGAGTGATAGAAAACGTTTCCCTGATCAAGCTTATCACATCATTTGCCTTATCTGCCCTTCCTTGGAAGATCAAAAGATGTGCTCTATTCTTCTTGCTGTTCTACCCCCTCTGCAGCCTTATACCTGCTGTCTGTCATACCCACTCATTTGTATGTCTAAGTGTTGCTTTGAATTAAATTTTTCAAGCTTTTGAGAAGTCTCTACAATAAAATTGTCAGCTGCTTGAGGCCACAATATGTACACGTCAACATTCTTCCTCATTTTCCCACCCTTTTTTCCACTAGTGGCTTCAAAATCTGTTAGGTTTCCATGTTAGGAGTAATTGCCCACTCACTTTCTAGGAGGCTCCTCATCCTCCCTAATTTCATTCTCTTCTTCTTTCACCTCTACCTCTACTTCCACTTTAATTTCTTTCTTCTCCTTCTCTTCTTTCACCTTCCCTGATTTTCTCCGTGGCTTTGGGGTTTCCCTGAAAACACAAATACATTTCAACACTGGTACCTAGCAAAGGATCTTTTCAAGGAAAACTGACAACAAGGTAAAGCCTGGGGTTATCACCGATTTACTGTAAAGTTATGATCCTTAGCTCATGAAATGTGATTTCCAGACAACCATTCCTCATAGGCAGAATAATGATAACTATTTAAAACTTATTGGATGACTCCCCAGGGTAATGATGCTCTAGAATAAAGTCTTACTATCCTTGTAAAGAGAAACATTAAAAACAGAAAAAGTCTAAGTAATCATGCAATTCATGATCTCGTTATGATTACATGCAGACATCGTTAACAATATGGATATGATTCAAAATAAAGGTCTATAAATAGAAGACAGGGCTGTACAAGGGGGTAATAAGATGTTAGATTTGCAAAAATCCATTTAAAAGTAAGTCTATACCAGTTAGTTTGGCTACAAGACTAAACAAAAGAATGCAACAGTTATTTTCTAACTTATTTTTCATCGACATGCCTGGAGTAAAGTGAGACATGCCTTTCTAAGTGGGGTTTGTAGGTCTCATCTCTTGGGTCATCTTTGAATGGTATTTCCTCTTCACTGATTAACATCTCTTCTTCTTCCTCCTCTTCCTCATCACTACTAAAAAGAAGCAAAAAAAGCTTAGAAATTCTAGTTGTAAGGGTTATATCTGAGTGGATTTTCTAATTTTAGTATATGTGCTGCTGAAGCAAACACTGGATTTTATTCAGGAATTTTTTTAGAGGTAGCCAAAAATTCACAATAAGTTATCTAGAATTTTTATCCTTATAATCTAGTTGAACTGCAATCTAGCTGTTTCATCCTGAAGAATAGGAACTAAAAATCCTCAATATGCTATCACTTCATTAAATAAAGGTAATGACTGCTCAATGGCATGAAGAGTTTAAAAACAAACAAAAAAAACCAATAGACTTTAATACCATGCCTAGTAATCTATCAAAAAAGACACACACACACACACACACACACACACACACACACACACACACACAGACATATCACCAAAGATACTGATAAAATTTCAAAAGCCTCATCTAAAACACACATATTTCATATTGCCTAGCACGGAATAAGACGGAACACAGAAGATACCTGACACATGATTTCTGAACTACGTAACTAAAGATTACATAGCTAAAGCTCTAATGAAGAACAAAGTGGAATCTAAATTGAATACAAAACTGAAGTTAATTCTTGTTACAGCTCAGAATTCTCTCAAGTAGAAAACAACTTCGACTCATTTCATGTGATTGTGCTCTATGTCCCCGAGGGTTTACATATGAAATATGGAAAGTATCTTACCTAATGCCACCAGGAGATTGATGCTCTTCTGTAACAACTGGAAAAATAAAGGCAAAACAAAACAAAGCTTTATGTAGAAAGAGGTATTTTCTCCCTATAGCCAAGAGACTAAAACCAAATTACTCTCTGAAGTAACCACACAAAAGGAGAATATATGCAAATTGTCAAAAAGGAACCCTTCCAATATACCATTATACCTACCCCTGAAAGTTACACTGTTCTGGTAAATGCTCAGCAGTACACTGAAAATCAACAGGCAACTGGTTTCTAAATAATCATACTGTACTTGCACTGTACCATAATCAAGCTGATCTGTATTTGGTTCCGACTTGCAGATGAGCTGCAATGAACCAGTCTTGGACCTAGAGCTTCGGGTGTTCTCAGTGTCACGATGCCGAGAGATAGATGTCCTGCTGCTACTGCGCCAGCCCCGGCTGGGCCTCGATGCAGCAATGGAAACTTCCTGAGGGAGGGTAGAATCGTTGTCTTCCTCTTTCTCTTCCTTGGGATCTAGATGAAAACATACACCATTCTTACTAAGTTTACGGTTAACCAATAACCATCGCTGTATACCTAATATTGTAAATACTGTCAGTGAAAAGAAGATAATTTTCAGAAGAAAAAACCCTCAAATTTGTAAATGAAATAATACTTTCTTGTTGATGGAGGGTTAGGTTGTTTCAATTCTTTAGTTGTTATAAACATGCTATAATGAACCTCCATGTGTCAATTTATTTTCCTAAGGTAGATACTTAAGAGGTAGAATTGCTGGATGTATTTTTGAACCTTCCCTGAAGATGACCAGTGTTTATCAATTTCTTGTATATTCTGCCAGAAGTCTTGTTATCATCTATAAGAAACATCTTTATATGTATTACATATGCATAATACATCATATACATAATATGTAAAACACATAATTTATTACATATATTACATGTGTGTATATAAAAATTATAGATATATATCTGGGTGTTATATGGATATAGGTTTTTTTGCATAATAAAGTGCCTTGGGGTTGATTCCATGCTACTGCCCCTTCACCAGCTATATCAAAATTCATATAACTAGTCCCCTTCTGATATTTAGTTTTCTATTCTCTTACTACTAAAAACAGTGCTATAATGACTTTACATCCCCATGAGTATTTGGTAACTACCAATTTGTACTTTTTTCACCCTGCCCCCAAACCCCTCCTATCTATCACTCCAACAAATCTAGTACCCATCTGACACCACACATAGTTACTACAATATTATTGACTATATCCTTTATGCTATACCCTATTACCCCCATAACTAATTTGTAACAACGCATTTGTACTTCTTAATCTCTTCCCCTTCTTTTACCCATAACCCCAACTTCCCTTCCATCTGGCAACCATCAAAATATATCTATGAGTTTGTTTCTTTCTGTTTGTTCATTTTGTTCTTTAGATTCTACATGTAACTAAATTCACATTGCATCTGTCTTTCTTTGTCTGACACACTTCATTCAGCACAATATCCTCTATGTCCATCTACGATGCCCAGGTGTCAAGAACCCATTCCCTTCCATGGCTGAGTAATATTCCATTATATGTATGTACCACCTCCTCTTTATCCATTCTTCCATCAATGGACATCCAGGCTGCTTCCATATCTTGGCCATTGTAAATAATGCTGCAATGAACATGTGGATGCACTTGTCCCCTCGAAACAGTGTTTTGGGTTTCTTCAGATAAATACCCTGAGGCAATATCTATCAAAATTATAAATACACATCTTTTCATGTTAATTTCAACTACTAGGAATTTATCCTACAAAACTACAATCACACTTATAAAATGACTTATGTATTGTTACCCTGTATTACCCGTGCTTTAAAGGGAGACTAAGTTGAGGGAGGTCATCCCCTTCTATGCAACAGATAATAAAAACTTAGCATTAGAAACTGGCTTTCAAACCTAGAGTAGCTTATTACTTATATCTATGTAAGTTAGGTAATATACATAAAGATATTTCTTTCAGATGATAACAATACTTCTGGAAGAATATACAAGAAATTGACAAACACTGGTCATCTTCAGGGAAGGTCCAAAACTACATCCAGCAATTCTAAGAATCTACATTAGGAAAATAAATCGATACATGAAGGTTCATTAGAGCATGTTTATAATAACTAAAGAATTGAAACAACCTAACCCTCTATCAAGAAAGTATTTAAATAAACCATGCCACATTACCAAGATGGAATAATATATACAGGAATCTGTAAAAAAAAAATGACACAATTATTGGTGAAAAAACTGTTAAATGGAAAAAAAAAAGACATAATACATATAAAAAATTTTTTCTTTTTAAAGATCTGTAAAATACAGTTTCCTCCACTGTGGAACAAGGTGGTAACTTGGGGCTACTTCAGCTTGAACTACACTGTTTAAAAGTTTTATGAGAATACATTCAGGTGATAGAATAAAAAGGTTTGAAATGTAGATGAACAGCAGTGGGAACTTATTAAATCCGATGTGCATTTCTGTTCAGTTTTCCTTTCCAGTCATTATTGCCTTTGTCATCCTTCTCCTAACTGAGCTACTGAAAGTATCAAAATAAATTAATAAAAGGCTAGAGTTAAAAATACCTTCAAGACTTTGCTTTCTAGTCTAACTACAATCAACTTGTTCAAGATCTCAAAGCTAGCTAAGCCGACCTAGATCTAAAACTCACATCTTGAGACTATCTTACACATAGGTTGTGGCCACTTTTAAGAGTTTCTTCAAAGGGAGCCATGCAACACCCTCCATAAAGTATTACAACATTAAACAATGGAGAGGAAATTCTTTTATTCAATCCAACTCCACTAGTTTGGACTTTACACCCACTCCATAACCTCCATGTACTCAGTAAAGTTCTTTTCTTCTTCAAGATGAAAGGCCTGAATGCCTAACCCTTCTCATACTGTGGATTTTATCCACTGGACAAATGATAGCAATCTGATGAGAATTGCTTATCATCATAAAGCATAATAGCCTATCTTATTGAATGCCACACCCATCCCCCAAAACTCTAGTGATGGTAACATCAAGCAAAAATGTCTCTTGACAGAAACAAATACACACACACACACACACACACACACACACACACACACACCCTGCCGGAATTAACTTTGTAAAAACTCTGGGAAATAGTCAAAGGTTTACAGCAAACAAGTAAACACGGAATCAAGAAAAAGAGTTAAGCAAGATAATTTAGGAAAATCTTTGTCAAATCACTTGTTGAACACAAGCTAAAGGGAACAGCCTTTAGAGATCACACAAGACAAAGAATATGGTCTTTAAAAAATATGCTCAAAGAACTATAAGAAACCATCGATAAAGAACTAAAGGAAATCAGGAGAATAATGCTTTGACAAACAGAGAATGTCAATGAATATAGTAATTATAAAAATGAACCAAACAAATTCTGGAGCCAAAAAGCAAAACTGAAATGAAAATTCACTGGACGGTTTCACTCAACAGATTTGAGAAAGGAGATCAATCAGCAAACTATAAGAGGTCAACTGAGAGTCTCTCATCCAAATAGAAAGGACAAAGAATGAAGAAAAATAAACAAAGCTTAAGAGACTTGTGGGACCATTAAGCATACCAATATATCTATATCTATATCCCAAAGGGAGAGCAGAGAATGGAGCAGAAAAAATATCTGGAAAAATAAAGGTCAAAAACTCCCCTAAATTAATTTTAAAAAACCATGAATTTACACCAACAAGAAGCTCAATGAACTCCAAACAGGATAAACTCTGAGTTCCACACTAAGACACATCATAATCTGTCAAAAACGAAAAGACAAAGAGAGAATCTTGAAAACAGCAAGAAGTGACTCATTAGTATAAGGGATGCTCAATAAGATTAATAGCCTGTTTCTCATCAGAAACCATGGAGACCAGAAGGCAGAGGGACTACTCTTTAAAAATGAAGGAGAAATGAAAACATTCCCAGATAAACAAAGGCAGAGTTTGTTGCTAGCAGACCTGCCCTACAAGAAATGCTATAGGAGTCCTCCAGGCTGAAATGAAAGGACACTGGACAATAACTTAAAACCATATGAAGAAATGAAAACAGTTGTAAAGGTAATTACACAGGCAAATATAAAATGGTATTATTGTAGTTTTGGCACCTCAGAATTCTCCCATCCATTAGCCATTAACCAAAACCATTTCCATATTTTTAGGTATTTTGTTACAGCAACCCTCCACCTCCAGTACCCAAAATCTGTGTTAGTTTCCTAGGGCTGCCACAAGACATGACTACAAAGACCGTTTATCTATAAAGATCCTATTTCCAAGTAACGTCATATTCACAGGTACTCAACATCTTTTTTGGGGAAATAATTTCGGGAAATAATTCAACCCATTGCAAGTAGCTCTACTGATACAAGACAATATAGACCTCAAGTCAAAAACTGATATGAGACAAAGACACTGTATATTGATAATAAGGGTCAATTAATCAAGGTATAAAAATTAGAAACCTATATGTACCTAACATATGAAGCAAAAAATGATAGAATTGAAAGGAGAAACAGGCAGTACTATTGGGTTGTCGGAAAAGTCATGACGTTATTTTTTCTGTTTTCCATTGCAAAAATGCGTCATGACTTTTCCGACAACCCAATAAAATAAGTTGTATACGTTAATACAACTTTAATAGATAAACAATCAGAAGTTCAATTAGGAAATAAAGGATTTGAGCAAAACTATAAAAAAATTAGGCCAGACATATAAAAACGGCAGCATACATTCACACAGAAGATTCTCCAAGGTGGACCATATGTTAGGACACAAAACAGGTTTCAAATTTTAAAAGATTGATATCAGATAAAGAATGTTCTCTGATCACAACTGAATGAACCTACAACAGAAATTGGTATCAGAAGGAAAACTAGAAAGTTCACAAATACGTGGAAATTAACACACTTTTAAACCACCAATGGGTAAACGAAGAAATCACAAGGGAAATTAGAAAATACTTTAAAAAAAATGCATTAAAATAAAAACACAACATATGTATTGTAACTTATGGGATACAGTAAAAGCAGTGCACAGAATAAAAATTTATATATATATATATATATATATATATATATATAAATGTCTACCTTAAAAACAAACAAACACACATCTAATCAATAACTTAACTTTACACCTTAAGGCAGGGGAAGGAGAAGCAGCAAACCAAATCCAAAGCTGCAAGAAAGGAAACAAAGACAGAGCAGAGATAAATGAAGTAAGAAAATAAAAAAAAAATAGAGAAACATCAATGGAACCAAAAGTTGGCTCTTTGAAAAGATCAACAAAATTGTCAAATCTTTAGCTAGACTAAGGAAAAAAAAAAAAACAAGGGAAAAAAAAAACAAAGAGAAGACTCTAATTACTAAAATTTGAAATAAAAGTGGGGACATTATCACTGACCTTACAGAAATAAAAAGGATTTTAAGAGAACACAATGAAAAACTGTATACCAACAAATT